CTAGTTATCGGTACCTCTCGTTTAACTCCAGTTTGTGTATCACATATACTGTACACACATTATACTGTATTTTGTTTTTAAAAGTTTTTACTAAATAAAATAATTGTTTTTTATTTCAAATAAGTTTTAATAAATTAATGATAACTATTCAAATAAATAAACTACAGTCTAATCTGACATATATTATGTCTCAACTTTTAATTATTGATATTTATTATATTTATTTTAATCATATATATATATTACTATATTATATATTATTATTATATATGATATTACTATAGTAATAAAACTTGTAGTAAATATTATCAAAAAATATTTAAAAAAATATTTTATATCTATTAGTAAACTACAGGACTAGTAAACTAACTCTAAATTAAATATTTATTGATTGTCTTAAACTATTTTATTATTTTATTATTTTATTTTTTTTAATAAATTATATTTTATTTAATCGAAAATTTTTCTATTGACACTAATATACAGTCAATAATCTAATTAATTAAATAAATAATTTTTACATTTATATTAAAAATTTTTTGCTTACATAAGCAAATTTTTTTAGCTGATATTAAATATGATAAATAAATTAATAAATAAGTAATAAATAATATTTTCATTTATATAATGAGCACAAAAATTCCAATAAATTATTTGCAAATATATTGTAGATATTTTTATATTGTTTTATTTTTTTTATTATAAATTATTATTTATTGTTATAAAAAATTTAACATAACATTGATATTATAATATATATTTCAGTATATTATATTATATGTATTCTTAGAAAATACAAAAATTATTAACATTTTTTATTTCAAAGCTCTCTCTCTCTCTCTCTCTCTCTCTCTCTCTCTCTCTCTCTCTCTCTCTCTCTCTCTCTCTCTCTCTCTCTCTCTCTCTCTCTCTCTCTCTCTCTCTCTCTCTCTCTCTCTCTCTCTCTCTCTCTCTCTCTCTCTCTCTCTCTCTCTCTCTCTGATATGAACTGTAAATATTTTATGAATTTTAAAATTAATTAGTTTAGTATTTAAAAAAAACATATTTTTATTAATATTACTTAAATTTTATTTAAATATAATTATCAATATATATATATATATATTAATAAATATATATAAATATAAAGTTTATTTCATTGATTATTATGTCAATACTTATAAACTTTATTAAACCTATTTAATATAATTATTTTGTTTTTGTTGTTAAACAAAAATTCTAGTTAATTAAAAAAACAACAAAAACATAACTAATCTATTATTAATTGATTTTTTAAATATATATTTTTATTATAATTAAACAATAATTGTTTCAATTTTATTTAGTACAATAAATATGACATTAAATGATATAATTATTTATAAGAAAAAAAAATCAATAATACATATTAATAAAATAATCAATAATAATATTTTAATATTAAGAGTTCGTACAGCTTTCCAAATGATTGGAAATTTCCCATAAAAATCAATTTTCAATTATTAACAACAAAAAAATGAGAGAAAATAAAACATTTTTTTCCATTCATTTCCCTTTAGAAAAAATAATATATATTTTAACAATAAATAATACAATAACATTGATTTATTTTATATTATTTTTTTTTTGAATTAAATTATTGAAATATGTCAAATTTTTTATTTAGAGATAATATAATTATATATATATTAATTAATTAATTATATAAATTTATTTGTTTACTTAAATTATACAATATTTAWTTACAGTAATTATATTCATAAACATTTTATAACTAACTAATAATTATTATATTATAAAAATTATTATAATTTAGCAATTAATTAGTTAATTAATTAATTATTTTGCTTTTAAATTAAATAATAAATATTATCAACAAAAAAATACAAAAAGTATTTTATATYTAATTGTAAATACAAGTAAACTTTAGGACTAACTTTAATTTGAAAATATATTCAATAAATTAATATATTTGATACAAAATATTTTATAGATCTAATAAATAGATAAATCAATAAAATAAATAATTAAAACATTTTATTTAACAATATTATACGTACATTGATATTAGATTTATATATTATAAATATTTTTATTTAATTTATTGGCTTATTATTATGCTAAATATTTGATTGTTGACATAAAACTATTTATTAAATCAATAAATTATTTTACAAATTGTTTTTTTTTGTTGTTGAAATATTTTTTTTAATTAATAAATTTTTTCTAATTCTATACATAACTATATATATTTTTGAATTGTTTTATATTTTATAAWGTCAAATACCTTATGTAAAGGTATAAAAAAAATTAAATAAATTAATAAATTAAATATCTTATAAAAAATATTATTAATTAATGTTAATAAACAAATAAATTAGTTTATCGTTATTTAGCAAAAAATATTTTTAAAAAATGATATATAAACTAGATTTTAAACAAACAATTTTCTATTTAATACTATTTCAATCAAGATTTAAATTATTTTAATATTTATTATATATAAAATTAAAATGGCTAAAATTGTATTGATGTTTGTTTTTCTAGTATTGACAATTATACCTAGTAAGTTTATTATATATATATAATACTCTATTATAAAAATGTTTCAATTTGAATTATTATTATTTTTTAATTAATATATTTTAAAAATTATAATTAGTAAAATTATATATATGTATATATATTATATATATATATGATGGAAATATTTATAATAATAATAACTTTAATAATATAATGATRCTGTTGTAATATATAATTTAATAGAAATTTAATAATTTTAATTTTTTAACAGTTATACATGGTAATAATAATAATAAATGTAAGCCTGGWCAACGTTTGTGTCCACAATTCAATGATATTGAAGCAAGATGCTGTTACCCAGGTATACCATGTTTTGATCAAATTGAAGTAACCCGTAGTCGTAAACAAGCATATAGACAATTTTGTGATTCAATTGATTAATAATAATTAATAAATAAAATTGCAAAAAAAATAGTCATTAATTAACCAATCATTTTTTAATAATTATTATTAAATAAATATCAAAAATTTATTATCAATAAATTTATGAATTTTGCAATTAATTTTTATTTGTCTAATAATTGTCATATAAATTCATAAAAAAAATAAACATTTAATTCATTTTAATTATGAAATTAAATAGTTTTGACATAATATTTTATTTTTTTATAATTAGTGGTTTATTTTATCAAAGTTATAAATTAAGTTTTACATATTTTTCATATCATTTAAATACAAACGTAAAATATATGTATAATATAAACATAGATTTATCATCACTGGCTATATGTATGACAAAAAATTATATAATAAAAAATACAAATAATTACTATTCAAATAAATCATATTATAATTTTGATTTTAAAAAATTTAATAATTTAATCATAAGTGAACAATTACTTCAATTTAGTGATTTAAATAATATATTTGATTGCTATATATACGATAAAATGGGAAATATTGTTAATAAATGTGAAAATATTAGTTTGCTTAAATATGCAATTGATTATTATAAATTTTGTGCAATTTATTTTACACAATTATCTAATAATATRTCTGATAATGGATATATATACAACAATAATTTTCCATTTTATTTAGTAAATATTAAAATTAAAAACAAAATAAATTTCGGCAAATTTTTAGATATTTATTTTTATAATAGACGTGAGCAAATTGTTTATGTTAATGATGAAAACATTAATTATTTGGAAGTTGATAAATATAATGAACATAATTTACTAATTAAACGTAAAACGATTATTAATACGTATGGATCGCGTGAATCAAAAAACAAATGTTATAATAAGTGTTTAGTTGACAATTATTATCAACAATATCAATGCTATCCACCAATGTTATTGTTATGGCTTACAAATAATTTAACCAAATCTAGTGATGTTAATAAATTTTCTCAAAATTTTGACAATGATATTATACAGTCTACATGCAATAATAAGTGTGGAAAAATGATTGACTACATTGATTATCATTATTCAATGACAAATAATCATGATAAATCTGAATCAAATTATACAAATATCAATTTATTTTACACAAGAGAATTGGAAACTATTTACGAATCGTCCTATAGATATACCTTCGAAGAATATTTTTGCCAAATAGCTAGTTTATTTAGTCTATATTTGGGTGTATCATTTTATGTTTGTGGTGACTATTTTATCAGACATTTTGTACAGTATATTTCGAATTTCACTACTAATTATTTTATCAATAAACTTGTCCAACCAGTTTTTATAATAAATGAAACTCGTATTGAAACWCAAGTAGTATTTTTTAACCAAACATATCGACAGCGACAACGAGGGACATCCCGATCGCCAACACCTACACCGACAGCAACTATACAATCACCKACACCACCATCAYCAGCAGCTASACAACTRTCACCCAAACCGACAACATCTAAATAATTTTATTACAAATTGTTTAAATTAAATTATTTTATTATATAATTAACTAAATAAACAAATCAAAACAAATCAAAACAAATCAAAACAAAATAAAACAATCAAAACAAATCAAAACAAATCAAAACAAATCAAAACAAATCAAAACAAATCAAAACAAATCAAAACAAATCAAAACAAATCAAAACAAATCAAATCAAAACAAATCAAAACAAATCAAAACAAATCAAAACAAATCCAAACAACTCGAATAGAATCGAATTGAATTGAATCGAATCGAATCGAATCGAATCGAATCGAATCTAATTGAATCGAAACGAAGTGAATTGAATCGAATTGAATCGAATTGAATCGAATTGAATCGAATTGAATCGAATTGAATCGAATTGAATCGAATTGAATCGAATTGAATCGAATTGAATCGAATTGAATCGAATTGAATCGAATCGAATCAACCGAATCSAACCAAACMAATTAAATYAATCAAATATATTTATTTGTGTAATARTGTTARTWSATATATTTCATTACAATTCTCTCCATACACCCCCACCCCAACACCACTMCCGACACAAATCTAATAAACTTGGACGCCATGGCTGGCAATTTTGCACATATTACCATGATCGCGGCGCATCAGTATATAACCGCCYTCACCATAGCCGGGTCCCCACGAATTTTTCACTATCCAATAGTTTTTATTCGACCCCCGATCGTAGCCGTAGCCGACCACCAGTACAGCGTGATTGATAGCACCCGAACACCTGTCCTCGAATATACCGCGTTTGTATCGGGACCATGCTTCGTTGACGTGTATGGCCACTGCTGCCGGTCCGCCATCCTGGACAGCCTTATGCAACCGCTGCTCACTGTCCCGATCGGTAACCCATTTCCAGCCCTGAATTTTGGCCGCTGTACGCGATTCGCGTCCCCGATCGCACCCACCTCTCTATAAACATACATACATTCAATTAATATTATAATTACTATAACCCCCCCGACCCAACCCATAGCCCTTCACTAACCTTTGTCTGATAGGGATAGTTATTCCATGCAGTTATACCTTTACGCTGGATATAGTCGTAGATCGGTTTGAAGGCCGCACCGCGCGGACAGATATCATAGTTGACCGAACAGTCCAGCAATTGTTGCGGACTCAGGGGTTGTACACCTCTACGGGTTTTACGGGCCAAATAAGTTTCGACTAGTGCGGCGGCGGCAAACAGTGTACATGAGCCGCACCCACCCTTTAATAATAATAATAAAAACATTACATGTAATACACACACACACACACACAAATACACACACACACACATATATATATATATATATATATATACACTTACACAAACATTCACACACACACACACACACGTATATATACACATATACATAAACACATACATACAAACACACATACACACACATACACACACATACACATACATAGACACATACACATACATAGACACACATACATACAGTACTTAGCATACATAGCATGTACAGTATATACAGTATTATAAAAAAACATACCTGATTTTGAACCGGTCCGACCACTTTGGCCGAACGCCAATCGTATATCCAACTCTTAACATTGGCTACCACTGCGCCATCGATTGATTGGTTGTCCGCCTCAGCCTCMRCCTCAACCGCCGGCGCCGACGACTCTGTCAACGACAGGTCGCCGGCCAACAGTTCATCCAACAGATTGACGTCATCAATACCGGCCGGTTTTGGCCACTCATCATCGGCACCGTTAAAACCGGTAAATTTGGCCAGAATTTCGTCGCCAGTCATATCGGCRAATTGGTTAATCGATTCSGTRTACGACGACTGGCCATTCAGGGCATCAAATTGTGTCGAAATACTCGAACCATGTTTTCCTTGAATACGTCCCGCCGATAGTCATCTTCCGATTGGTCCACATATTGTTTCTCGTAGTTGGCCTTAAATTCTTGGAAAACGGTCGACAATTTCTGGTCGTCCTCTAAGTTGGCCTACGATTWATCCCCACAAAAAAATAATTAAWTAAATAATAAAYAAATAGTTTTAAATATAATATAGATATAAACTGTTAGTAATTTTTATTTTTTATTTTATAGTTTAACTTAAATATAAATAATATTACTGTATATTATTAATATATAAAATAATATTTATTACTAAATATTATTTATTAATTTATTTAGTTTTTAAATTAACAAAATAATTAATTATAATTGATTATTAACTAATTATTATTATAAAACAAAACTTAACTAGCTAATTTATTATATATATATATAAAAATATTTTTATTAAATATACTAAAAAAAAATTATTTATATAAAACATTATAAAAACAAAATTCATTAGTTATTTAATGTATTTATTATTAATTAAGTTTTTGTATCAATTGTCTTAATATATCAATAATAAAGTTATAATAATAATTATTATAATAATATGATTTACTTGAAACATAGCCGTCAATTGGGTAAAGTTAGTATCGGCCGCCATATCCTCAAACACCCGATCCGTACTTAACATATCTCCCTGAAGAAAGTCGCCAAACGGTTCAAACAGTCTATTATCTGACTGTCCATTACTTGATGTCGGCCGCTGACCGTTACCGGCGCTGATTACTATCGATGTTACTGTAGTGGACAGGTATGTCCACAATAATAATAGTAGTACAACAATAACTACCTGTTTRATGGCAATCATTRTTGWTTGGGGGCTATTGATGACTAGTATTTATAAATATATATACTGTATATTGTTTAGGAAAAAATCTAAATAATTTTTATTTAAATTTTTATATATATATCTAAAATATTTATTAAATATTTTTTTCAAGATTATATCTAAAAAATTTATATTATGTTTTTTAAAATGTATTTATTAATAATAATAATAATATAAGGATATTGTCTATATTTGTAACAAATAGGGTTACATCCGTTTTTTTTGAAAAAATAATAATTATTATTTATACCAATTTTGGACATATTTATTGTACAGTAATTTAATGTATGCATCAATAATTGAATTTTTAAWAATTATTTTTAATAATAGTAAATATTTTTTCAATTTAAATATCATATACTAATAGTATRTATATAATAAATATAATGTATATCCGTTTTTATRRATGTTTGTATTTTTTTTGGCATATATTTGTTTATTACTATATATACATTAGTATATTTAGTAATTTACTATARTATATGTAATTATAGAGTAATTTTGTTTAAAAATAAAAATTATCTATTTATAAATTTATTGTAATTGTGTAAATGTATAAAAAATGTATAAAATTAATTTTACTTTTAAATAAATATAGAATTTTTAGAAATAAATTGTCAATTTTAAAACTTAGTGTTGTATATTTATATATATAAAAAAAATTAATTAAAACAAATTTATTTATTTATTTTTTTGACAATAGTATATGAAATATCTTATTAAAAATAATTTTTTGTTAAAAAAATTTTTTTATTAACATTTTAATATATAAATAGTATAAAAACWTGTAGTTTTACAGTTTGTAATTTATAATATAACAAACTTATATAAAAAACATTAATAAATAAATATATTTGAAATATTTWTACTATTACTTAGAAACAATTATAAATAGGTTATGTAATCAATAACAAAAAAACATGATTTTTTGTTATAAAATATATTGTTAAAATTATTTACATTAAAACAACTATCATATATATATATATATATATATTAAAAACTAAATAGTGTAGAAAATAATTCATAAATAGTGTTTGTACTGTAATATTATARATTATTTAATAAAAAATAATAATATTTTATTTTTAATAAAATATATATRTTAATAATATTTAAATTAATATTAATATATCATTTATTTGTTATAAAATTAATTGTTTATAACATACTAAATATATTATTTTAGTAGAAATAATACTATAAATTAATAATATAATACAATAACAATATTAATGTTTTTATTATTATTATTATAAATAATAATAATTWATYATTAAATAAATATTTCCGGTTGATATCTTACATTGATAATAAAAATAATYAAATATAWTAWATGYATTGTTTTTGTTATATATATATAAAATAAATATATATCATAACATACAGTATATATATATATATATATGTATAACAATACAGYATTTAATGGTTACCTAAGTTATCAAAAAATAAATTATTGCATTACAAAAATATTTTAAGTYTAATTACAARCAMAATATAACRCAACATAATAATAATAATAATAATAATACTATTAATAATACTTATAATAAATATATATATAAAAAAAGTAAAATAAATAAATTATAGCCACACAAAAAAAATCTCTATACAATTAATCATAACTAAAAAATTMATATTWAACTATATGTTAGCTTAACTTTWWAAAAAATAAKTTATTATTTTATTAAAATTTATGTTTTAAATGTAATGWTTTTTAATTAGTTTATAGTTAACATACAGTAATCAATAGACAATCATCAATCAATTTAATATTTTTATAAAATTTATAATAAATTATTTTTTAAWAAATTAAAATGGTCGAGGACGGTTATGGTGATGATGACGGTCCATCAGTCTATAAGGATGGTCCCAGTTATGGCTGCAAACGGTGGTCAATGTTTACCTGTTGTGTTTTGGGCATTGTWTCAACATTTATCATACTAGTAGTGATGTCCATAAGCTATCAATACAACTATGATTATGTTAGCAATACGTTCAACTATCGGGAAGTACCTAATTTGAAGGTATGTGTGCGCTCTAGTATATATATATATATATATATATATATATACCTGTATATATATATAAATTATATATGTATATAATTTATGTATTTTTTAATTAGTTWATCTTAAAATATTYAATAAATTAATTATTGATATATATATATATATATTATAGTGTATRTAATATTTATTATTAAATATTTTTTTARACACAATTAACTTAATAGATTTTTGTTTTAATTTATTTTAAAATTGRCTTAGCTAGATAATTTTTTTTTAAAAATCTATTTTTGTGTCAGATATTTTTTAAAACAATTTATTAGTATTTAGAAACAATTTTGTTTCATGTTTTTATTTCTAACAAAAATTTAATATTTAAATAATACWWWAGTTAAGTATTTAGTAGTATTTTATAATYTAWTTTTTTTWAATAAATTTATTTTTRYTACTAATGCATATAATACTAATGTACAGTAGTTAACAACAATAAAATAAATACTTTATAAAAAAATAYWGTAAATATTGTTTTACTATACATATATAATTTTATTTATTATATTATAAAWAWAATAAWTATTAATTTARAAAAAATCATAATAAACATTTTTRTACTGTAGACAATWTTTTTAAAAAAAATATTAAAATTTTTACAAAAAAAAAACACAAATATAGTCTAATAATACTAATAATGATAAAAAATAATAATTATTATTACTATACTTTATTTAATAAATTATTATACTTTTTATTTTATTTCAAACACACACACACACACAAACATACACACACACACACACACACACACACACACACACACACATAACATACACACACACACAAACACACACACACACACACACACACAAACACACACATGTACACACAAACACACACACACATACACATTACACACACACACAAACACACACACACACACACACACACACAAACACACACATACACACAAACACACACACACATAATACACACACACACAAACACACACACACACACACACACACACACACAAACACACACATTAATACACACAAACACACACACACATATTTTTTATCATTAATACAAAAAAATATATAATCAACAAAAAATTATATAGTAAAATTTTTTTTAATTAAAGGAAACAACAATAGCATTGTTGGCAACGTTTGGCACACTATGTATATTATGTTCATTTCTGGGTCTATTYGGTGCCTGCAATGAATCCTACTGTCTGTCCCTGTCGTGCGGTATTTTGATGGCCTTCCTATCGCTGGGAACGTTAGCCGTTGCCATATTTATGCCCRTTTGTTGGCTAACATTCATACTAAACGTATTGATTGTTTTGTCATCATTTTTGTTTGCCAGYGATTTGAATCAATATAGATAGACAACAATTATTATTATTATTAAATAATAATATTAAATAATAATAATAWATTATTAATAGTTAATAGACTATAATAATAAAAAATAAAATAAAAATATTTTAATTAATAATCATTTTATTGGAAAATATTAATAGTTATATATATTATAGAAAAAATAAAATGTTTTTTTGTTATTAATTTTTCAATTTTATTTATATATATTTGTTATTTTCAACAATAAATGTTATACTAATAAGATTTTTGTTTTAATGAAAATATATTTTACAAAATATTTACTTAAATAAAATTAATTTTCTATTTAATTATTTTATTATTATTTTTAAATATTTTATTTATTTTATAACAAACACATTAATGCATTTACAATATAATTACATCAATTTTTTAAATAAAATTAATATTTAACACACATTTTATTTGTATTTTAAAATCAATAAAATAATACTTTTAAAATAATAAAAAAGTTTTTATAAGTATCAATTAAATCTATTTATTAAAGTTTATTATTATTATTATTTAGTTAAATAGTTAGATAAATTTAGTAAAAATAAACTTTTTATATTTAATAATTATTATTTTTTGAGCTAACTAGTAGTTTGTATAAGTATTACAGTATAGGATAGTATTAGTGATAAACATTTAATAATTGTTTGTCTATTAATTGCAAACAAATTGAATCCAGTAAAATACATTTGATTTGATAGGGATTTCAATGAACTAATTATGATTAATATAGATTTATCTAGATGATTATTATTATGATTWTGATTATTAGCTAGCATATATCTGATTTCCAATCTATTTAGACATCTATTATAACTACTRGGTATAATATTGCATACATATAGAAAATATAGAAAATAGACTAGTATCTCGAAAGTTTCACCAAGGGTAAACGGTATATTATCGTGATTACCAAAATAGATTTTTGTTAAATTCGATATCATAATCAAACAACTTAGAAATACCAATAGAAAATTATGTAGACAAATTAGTCGATCAAATTTGTGGACAAATAATTTCAATTGTAGACAATAACGATAAATTGTTAGCCAATCAACTGGTTGGTCGATATTTSTTTTGTAGACAAATAACGTAATTGTCGGGCAATTATTATCGATTTGTAGSCWATTATCGACATGAATAGCATATTTCCGTTAACAGCTAACGTATAGATGGGAAACGTTATCCAATCGCTTGTATTTAATTGAAAACTACCGTAAATATGCGTAACAATATAGTAGACAATTTCAATCAAACTAGTCATCGCTATGTTAATCAATATGACTATAATGCCAATACGCGTTTCGTGCGTATCATTGCAAACGTATTGATGATCATCGCCGYGCGCAACCAATAGATCGACAATTTGGCGGCCATTCAATACGTTCAAAGCGTACGAACCGTACGCGTGCAATGTAAACGCCAGGGTWGCACTTGTATGCAATATTTGTAATAGTTTTAATTTAGCCGGTGCCAAACTACYATCACCATGGTCGACCATAATTGTTTGAAAATTAAACAAATTAATAGCTAAATCATTTATATAGGTATAACTTATTAGACATATGTAGAGAAAATTGATGATAAATTTGATAAATTTTTGATAATTGAACGTATTATTTGATACACTAGTATTATTATAATAATAGTTGTTATTTTGTAGATTAGCTAGATGATAACCAAAATACATGTTACCAGTATAGTTTATGTATTTGATTAGCAATTTTAGTCCACTATTAGCCATTATTATTTTGTTTACAAAATTTTTAATTTTAAGATTTTAGTTTACTATAATACTGTAGATTAAAACTATTGAAATTAAAAAATATATCTATAATCTTATTAATAGTTGAAAAACTTAACTAGTGCATTATAAGTTTATACATGTATATTTTATATATAAAATATAAAAATATTTTATTTTATTTTAATATTAAATAATGATATTTATCATTAATTATTGATAATATTGCAAATACTATTTTTTATTAAAATATTGAGAAAAATAGTTTTATATAAATACAATTTCAATGTATTGTATGATAAATGTTTTTATTGTTAAAAAATAAAAAGTTTATATTATTTAATAAAAACAGTCATAAATTATTTATATTAAAACTGTCAAAATATAAATATTGTATTATATTAATTAATTTATAAATATATGTCAAAAAAAATGTAATTAATTTTAATATATATTTTAATCAATGGTATCAACAATAAATAAATTTTTATTTAGAAATATAAAATATTATTAATACATTTTATTTATTGATTACTAAATAAACAATAGATATTATTATTTTGTAATTTTATTAGATTTTTTAAACATTTTACAAACAGCGATAAATATAATATTAATAGTAATTAAATATTTTTACAAATATCATAAATTTAAATATTTGTAAAATATTTTTAAATAAAACATTAGACATTATATATATAAATATGCGATTATAAATCTAAATTATTAATTATTATTTTTTTACTCAAATTATATAATATGTTTTATTTATGATTACAATGATAAATGTATTTTACATTTATAATACACTATTTCAATAGTTTATCATAAAGTTTTTATTTTATTTCTTAATTTTTTTTTAAATAAAAAATTATGTATATATATTTTTAATTATGAAATTAATTTATTATAATTTTATTTATGAAATAATTATACTGCTATTTAATTATACAGTTTATAAATTAACATTTTTATTGACAATAATTTATTACTAGAATATAATTTAAAGAATAATTATTTTTTTTTGTATATTTTGTATAAAGCATCAGGGGGAAATAATATAAATATATAAACATGTTAATATATAGGATAATTTGTTTTTTTGTTATAATTTATATTAGTTGATAAAACAACAACAAAATTAAGTAATATAATTATTATTTACGTTTTTTATTATTTTTAATTGATATTTTATAAAATATTTTAGGGTCCAAATTAATATCACTTTTAGAAACAAAAGTAATAAATTTATATTTAAAAAAAAAATAAAAATCAAAATATTTTAATTATTTTTACTGTACAGTATATATATTTGTTTGTTTGATTTTTATAGTTACCCAATATTATACTGGTAATAACTAATAAAATAATTATTATAATTTTAGACATATTTTTTTGTTTGTTTGTGGTTTAATAATAGTTATAATAATAATAATTTTTTTTATATATATAACAACTAATTGACTAAACAGTTGATAGTAAGCTAAAAAAATTATTACATAAAAAATATAACTAATAATATTATAAATTAATTTTAATAAATTTTCCATTAATTAATTAAATTATAGTTACGTCATAACATTTACAATATTTTTTCAATTAGTTTATTTTTTTAAAAAAAAAACCTTATAAGACTATACAGTTAAAAATTTTTAAAATAAAAATTTATAAAATTAAAGATTAAAAATATATCAATTTCATTATATTTAATTATTTTATTTTTTAATAAAAAAAATTTATAATTAAATCTAACTAATTTGTTGACGCCATTTTTACATACATTTTGAAAAAAATTATTTTATTAATTTAAACTATAAAAACCATAGAATAGATTAATTAATTAATTTTTTATCCAAAATATTATTATTAATTTATATATTTATATTAATTGAAATTTTTGTTAATTTTACTATATTTTTTTAGGCATCTCCACCACCATCACCACCACCTCCACCACTACTAGCATCGCCACCATCAGCTTCGCCACCTTCAGCACCACCAGCCGGTGCTTTAGTAGCTTTAGATCCCTTTCCACCTCCTTTTTTGCCACCAGCGCCTCCTTTTTTACCTGCTTTGCCACCATTGCCACCATTTTTGCCATTATTTTTCATATCTATCTCATCGATAGTTATCAGTATTACTAGAATAATGAAAAAAAAATAAATACAAAAAATATATATATAAATAATTAATTATTTAATATATTTTTAATACTACTATATATATATATATATACAAAATTATTTTAGTACTTTAGTTTAGTACTAAATAATTTTAACTTAATTTATTAATTGTTTTTTTATTATTATTAAAAATTACCAAACAATGTAATAGCAATTATTACAAATAAGTTGAATTTTAGAGACATTTTTGATTTTTTTTTGAAAAAATATATGTCACTGTGTTATACTACTAATAAATTACTAATGACTACTAAATCAATAATTTATTTAATTTTTATTTTTTGAAAAAAATGTAGATGAAAATAATATTTAATTAATTAATTAATAAAAAAATTTAGTAATAATTATCTTTAAATTAAATTTCTATATAATTTTATTTATATATGTTTAATAGTTTTATCATAAAAAAACATTAGTATTATAAATGTTTTTGATTTTGTTTTTATCTAAAAAAATAAATTAAGCCAACTCATCATATAATTGCCACCATTTTATTTTTATAAAAAAAAAATAATATTAATTAATTTTTTAAAAAAATATAAAAGATAAAATATTATAAAATAAAGCATTCAAATAAAAAATAAACAAAAAATGTCATTTTATTTGTATGTTTTTGTATAGATTATTTTTTATTAAAGTTTATTATTATAATGCTAATTTTTAATACAAAGTTTTTTTTGGCAAATTAATAATTTTTAGATAATTTTTAACACCAATAGAATAATATATATATATAAATAAATTTAAAGCAAAATTATTTTATTTTAATATATTATATATGTTTGTTAGTATATTATAAAACAAATAATTAATTAAAATATATTTTAAGTTTAGACTATGTTAATTTTAAGTAGTAGTAGTAGTAGTAGTAGTAGTAATAATAATAATAATAATAATAATAATAATAATAATAATAATAATAATAATAATAATAATAATAATAATAATAATTTTTGTAGTTAACAACTAGTTGAACGATACTATACTAACTATAGTAAGTTAAATATTTTTTTTAATTAAAACTATTAATTTTTATAATGGCATATTAATTAAATTATATACAAACGTCATAACATCATGTAGTATTAAATAATAATTATTTAATTTTGATATAATTTTTAAAAAATATATTATAATAGTTATATCATAAGCAAAAATCAACAACATTTGCATTATAAAGATTTTTATTAAAGATTAATTAATTATTTATTATAATATAAACTAATTGATGCCAACTCACCTTATATTAAACAGTTGCAACCATTTATTATATATAAAAAATAATAATTATTATTATAAATAAAAAAAAATAAAATAAAACATTTAGATAAATAAATTTAAGAAAAAATCTTATAAATATAAATTATATAATTATTATATTAACAAAAAAAATAATTAAAATAAATTTAAGAAACTTAATTTTAAAATTTTACTAAATAATATTAATATTTTTTTATAATTATTTATTAATTAGTATTTTATAATTCATAATATATATATAATAAATAATTAATGTTTTTTTCAAATTTATATATATATTATATATATATATATACTTATACTGTAATAATAAATTTAATTAATAAAAAATTATTGTATTAACAAATTATACTAAAATTTACTACAAATTTCTTACTAAACTACCAACAAATTGTAATAAATCGCTTAATTGCTCAGTGATTGCGGGATTTTTAGTTGGTTGGACTTTAACTATATTTTTAAAAAAAAATAATATTAAAAAAATTATATGAAAATAATCATCAAATAATGATATTTACGGTAAATTAGTTACGAAAAAAAAACAAAACAATATATATATATATATTAATTTGATTATTAAAACTTATAAATTATAAATAATTTTAAAGATTAATATTTGATATTTGAATAATTAATTGGATTAATTTTTTTAAAAAAAAACTAAACCTTAAAACTTAAAAAAGTCCTATAAATATATATATAAATCTAATGTATGTGTGTGTAAATAAAAAGTAAAAAAAAATATTTTTAAAAAAATCTATACATATATGAAACATAAAAAAATAAATAAATCAAAACAATAAACAATATAATTATAAAATATATATTAACTTTTTTTTAGTTTTAAATTTAAGATTTAATAAAAAAAATTAAATTTATTAAAACATTTTTTTTAAATCTAAAAGTTTATTTGGAATTATAATTGAACTTTGAATTAATTATTTTAATAAAAATAATATATATATATATTTAACTATAAAATAGTGTATATAGTATACAAAAATAAATAAATAGTGAAATAATAAAAAATAAAATAAAAATAAAAAAATAAATAGTGAAATAATAAAAAATAAATAAATAAATAAATAAATAAATAAATAAATAAATAAATAAATAAATAAATAAATAAATAAATAAATAAATAAATAAATAAATAAATAAATAAATAAATAAATAAATAAATAAATAAATAAATAAATAAATAAATAAATAAATAAATAAATAAATAAATAAATAAATAAATAAAATAAATAAATAAATAAATAAATAAATAAATAAATAAATAAATAAATAAATAAATAAATAAATAAATAAATAAATAAATAAATAAATAAATAAATAAATAAATAAATAAATAAATAAATAAATAAATAAATAAATAAATAAATAAATAAATAAATAAATAAATAAATAAATAAATAAATAAATAAATAAATAAATAAATAAATAAATAAATAAATAAATAAATAAATAAATAAATAAATAAATAAATAAATAAATAAATAAATAAATAAATAAATAAATAAATAAATAAATAAATAAATAGCATAAAAGAATGATGTAAATTTTACTTTCAATGATTTTTTTTTAATTTTATATATTTAAAAATAATAATAAATTTATAAATAAATAAATAAATAAATAAATAAATAAATAAATAAATAAATAGCATAAAAGAATGATGTAAATTTTACTTTCAATGATTTTTTTTTAATTTTATATATTTAAAAATAATAATAAATTTACCTGGTTCATCTTTAAATTGAAAATTACAATATTTAACATCCGTATATTCAATAAAATTCCAGTTCATATAACTATCATATAAACGTTTACAATAATATTGACCACATTTTGCTTGAATACACAATTTATGAACAGTTTTAGCAAATGGCTTAATCGTATCTATTTTGGTGTCTCAGTGGGGGTGGGGTGGGTGGGTGGCGGGGGGGAGGTAAAGGATAAAGATAAAATATATAATTATTATTATTGTATTTTTTTTTGAAAAAAAAATTTAAAACAATAAAAACAAAAATTTTCATTACATTTATCATTGGTTTTAATTGCAATATCATAGATATCTTTAACAGCAAATGTAGGTAAAGATTGACTTAAATCTAAATAACTATCGACTAGATATAAAAAAATTTACAATTAATATATATTTAATTAATAAAAATAATAATTATAATAATTATAGTTTTACAATATATATATATATATATATATATATATATATATATATATATATATATATATATATGGTTTGTTTTATATAGTTACCCAATATTATACTGGAAATAATTAGTAAAAATATTATAACTTTTAACATTGTTTTTCAAATGTTTTTTTTCTAGTAATAATAATAAAATACTAATAATAATAGTCAGCATCTAATTGACTAAATAGTTATTATAGGATTAAATTTTTAATTTAAGTTTAATTAAAGTTAAAAAAAATTTTTAATTAACTTATTTTGTTTGGCATTTTAATTAAATTAAATATATATATATCTATACGTCATAATATTTATAATATATTTTTTTAACTACATTTAAAAAAATAAAATATTGTTTGACTATGATATTAATGTTAAATACTGTTAAATAATGTATAAAATCAATAACATATTTATTTAATAAATGAAACAATAAAAAAATGTTTATTTTTATGACACAAATTATAATTTTATAAACTAGAAGTAAATGTTTAGTTCAATAACTAGTTATCTATTAATTGTTGAAAAAATATATAGTTTAAATTAAAAATATTACTTATATTTAGCTAAGATATCAAAATTTTAATCTTAGCTAATCAAAAAAAATAATAATACTGTATATAAAAAATGCATTTATTGTTATTTTTATTTTTTTTAAAAATAATTAGTTTTCAAATATATTTACAAACATTACATTATAATTTTTTATACAAGATTATTATAATATTAAAAATAATTCTAAATTGATAAAACTAATTTTTTCAATTCAATTTTTATTTTTATAATTTATTTACATTAACATTAAAACATAAATACTACATTAAATATTAAAAAATTTTTTAATTAAATATAATAAAAAAATAATTTGTTAAAATGTTAAAATAATTTGTATATTAAATTATGTTTATTTTGTTAAATATTAATTTTTATTAATTTTTATAGTATTATCTTAATATTAGATTATTTAAAATTTTCATCTGTATTAATAATTATTAATTCAACATATAATTCAATAATTTTTAATATTATTATTTATTTTAGTTACTTACATAATCTTTAATCAATAATTTATTTTACAAATATATAATTAGAAAATATATAATTATTTTGCATAACATTATTAGTATTAGTATTAACCAATGAACTCTATGCATAATGTTTTTTTTATATATATATATTTATAATTAATATTTTTTATTATTATTATATTAGATTTAAATTTAATTAAATTAAATTTAAAATATAAATAATTAAAAAAAAATATAATATATAATTAAGTAATAATAATAATAATAAATGTTATTATTATAACTATAACATATATATAAATATACAAACATTATCATATTATTCAATTACATTACCATAATTTGATTATATAAAATTATTAAAATAATTAAAAAAGTAAAAAAAAACATTAACAATTAATTATGTCAATTAATTAATTGAATTATATTGATTTTAGTAAACCACCAACAAGTTGTAATAGTTGCCTTAATTGTCCATCGGGTGAATTAGGTAGGGCATTTTTATCTAAAAAAATATTTTTTTTTTAAATTATCAAAATATATATATATATATAAAATTAGATACAGAAAAATATATATATATATATATATATATATATATATATATATATATTGAATTAAAAATTAAAAAAAAATAATTAATCAATTATACTCTCAAAAATATTATAGTTGCAAATTTTTTCAATAGACGCCATTATATAGTTTCCATTCATAAAACGCTCTTTTAATCCATCACAATAAAAACTAGTGCACCTTGCTTCTTTACATAATTTTTCAAGCGGTTGCCATAGTATTAGTAACTGATCTAATATTTATTGATTAAATGGGGGGGGGGTGAATATATATATATATAAAATATTTTTTAATAAAAAAATTAATATATTTATACTATATTCTGTAAAGATAGAGATAGACAGATAGACAGATAGACAGATAGACAGATAGACAGATAGACAGATAGACAGATAGACAGATAGACAGATAGACAGATAGACAGATAGACAGATAGACAGATAGACAGATAGACAGATAGACAGATAGACAGATAGATATTAATTTTAATAAATAAATATTAATTATTATATTTTTTTTGTCTTAATTATATGTATATATGTATTTATTTATTTTGAATTTATAGAATAATTATAATTTAAAATAACCTACATTATAAAATTAATATTAGAAATTAATAAATAACTAAATAATTAAATATTTATAATAAACTACTGCTTAATACTTATTAATACTTGTAATATATAAATATGTTATTATTTATTGTATTTGAATGTGTTTGTGTAAAGTGGAAGTGTAAAAGCAATAAAACATAATAAAAATTAATAAAAAAAATATTACTAAAATATAATTATATTTATTAAACTAGAAATTTTTTTAATATCTAAAGAAATTATACAATTATTATATATATATATATATATATATATGTATATAAAACTAGTAGTAAATTATTTTTTATTTTTTACTTTCAATGAAATTAATTTGTTTTTTTTTTAAAATTATAATAAATACCATGGCTCTCTTTAAATTGAAAATCACAATCTTTAACTTCCTTAAAATCAATATAATTTCCGTCAATATAATTATTGTATAAACGTTGACAATAATCTGTACCACATTCAGCTTTTTGACATAAATTTTTAACATTAGCACCAAGTCCCTTTAAGAATCCTAGATATAAAATTTAAAAAAAATAGTACCAAGGTAGAAGAGATAAAATATATTTTATAATTAATTAATTTTATAATAATTAAATCAAAAAATTAATTACTTTTATTATTATTCCAAATTGCAGTATCATACATTTGCCTGACTGTACTCATAGGTTCAAATTTTGTAGTAGCATTATGTGTAGTAGGTGGAACATTTTTAGCTAATTTTTTTAAAAAAATAAAATAAAATAAAAATTTTATCAACATAATATCATCAACAACAAACAAACAAAAATAAGATACAAAAAAAACTATATTTTCTAAAAATTTTTTAGTTTATATTAATTTTTTTGTTTGTTTGTTCAATTACTGTTCATAAATATTGCAATTTTTTTTTTCAATAGACGATATAAAACATAAAATAATTTATTACACATAATATACTATAAATTTCATTATTTAGTAAATTATTTTTTTTTTACTTTTAATGCAATTAAAAATTTAAAAACAAAAACAAAACAAATATATATATATATATATAAATTACCTGGACACTTTTTAGCATCAGCATTTTCAATATATTTTCCATTTATATAGCTTATGTATAATTGCTGACAATAATCTGTACCACAATTAGCTTTATTACACAAATATCTAATATTAGAACCAAGTGCCCTTATTGCTTCTATAAATTACCAGGGGTGGGGTAGGGGGGGGTGGGGAGTAGTAAGTAAATATAAAATAATAATAATTAATTTTATAATACTAAAAAAAATAATTATTAATTTTTTAATATTAAAAAAAATAATTATTAATTTTTTAACATTAAAAAAAATAATTACTAATTTTATAATACTAAAAAAAATAATTACTAATTTTATAATACTAAAAAATTAATTATTAATTTTTTAATATTTAAAATAAATTAAATAATAATTACGTTTATCAGTTAGTTTCATTGCTGCTTCATAAAATTGCTTAATTGTCCTAATTTTACCAAATTGACTTTTAGCAACTATTTTAAAAAAAATAAATAAAAATAAATAAATATATATATATAAACATAGAAATTAATTCAAAATACAAAAAAAATAATTATTAATTTTTGTAAAAGTTTTATTATTATTATTATTATATATGATTTATGATGTATTTTATTTTTATATAGTTACCAATTATTATACTGCAAATAACTAGTAATATTAATATAACTTTAGACATGTTTTTGTTGTTTAGTAGTCTAATAGTTATAATAATTTTTAATAAAATAACTAACAAAAACTATACTAAATTATACGATACTAAATTAATTTTTTTTAAAACTAACTTTAATTTTTAAAATATATATTAAACTAATTTTGTTTGTTATATTAATTAATTAATTATTTCATATATACGTCATAACATTTATTAAATTTTTTGTATATTCAATATACTTTAGATATATATTGTAGGGGAAGTGGGTACATTACGGGTATCTAAGTTTGTCTAACCTTCCTTATGTAAACCAAACACTCGGCAATACACCACTTACCTTACGGTTTTGACTCTTTTAGTGATAACTTATAGTAATGCGTGGCTTAGGAACGAGCGGTTTCCTATTTATTCTACTCTGACCAATTAATTCTTTAGCCCAAATAGGTTTTGTCCCCCAATAGGGTCTGTCACCCAAATAGGGTCTGTCACCCAAATAGGGTCTGTCACCCAAATAGGGTCTGTCACCCAAATAGGGTCTGTCACCCAAATAGCGTCTGTCACCCAAGTAGGGTCTGTCACCCAAATAGGGTCTGTCACCCAAATAGGGTCTGTCACCCAAATAGGGTCTGTCACCCAAATAGGGTCTGTCACCCAAATAGGGTCTGTCACCCAAATAGGCTCTGTCACCCAAATAGGCTCTGTCACCCAAGTAGGGTTTCAGATCCGTCTAGGGTTTCAGATCCGTCTAGGGTTTCAGATCCGTCTAGGGTTTCAGATCCGTCTAGGGTTTCAGATCCGTCTAGGGTTTCAGATCCGTCTAGGGTTTCAGTCCCGTCTAGGGTTTCAGATCCGTCTAGGGTTTCAGATCCGTCTAGGGTTTCAGTCCCGTCTAGGGTTTCAGATCCGTGTAGGGATTCAGATCCATCTAGGGTTTCGGATCCGTATAGGGTTACAAGGCCTGGAAGGACCGTGGGCCTGGAAGGACCGTGGGCCTGGAAGGACCGTGGGCCTGGAAGGACCGTGGGCCTGGAAGGACCGTGGGCCTGGAAGGACCGTGGGCCTGGAAGTACCGTGGGCCTGGAAGGACCGTGGGCCTGGAAGTACCGTGGGCCTGGAAGGACTGTGGGCCTATAAGGACCGTGGGCCTATAAGGACCGTGGGCCTATAAGGACCGTGGGCCTATAAGGACCGTGGGCCTATAAGGACTGTGGGCCTATAAGGACCGTGGGCCTATAAGGACCGCGGGCCTATAAGGACCGTGGGCCTATAAGGACCGTGGGCCTATAAGGACCGTGGGCCTATAAGGACCGTGGGCCTATAAGGACCGTGGGCCTATAAGGACCGTGGGCCTATAAGGACCGTGGGCCTATAAGGACCGTGGGCCTATAAGGACCGTGGGCCTATAAGGACCGTGGGCCTATAAGGACCGTGGGCCTATAAGGACCGTGGGCCTATAAGGACCGTGGGCCTATAAGGACCGTGGGCCTATAAGGACCGTGGGCCTATAAGGACCGTGGGCCTATAAGGACCGTGGGCCTATAAGGACCGTGGGCCTATAAGGACCGTGGGCCTATAAGGACCGTGGGCCTATAAGGACCGTGGGCCTATAAGGACCGTGGGCCTATAAGGTACACTAAGAGCCGTCCGTTAACGGATACGGGGTCCGGAGTTCTCATAATAAAAATATTTACTTACGTAATAGTTGTTAGCTGTCCGCGTAGTTGTGGATAGGTCCAAAGGCGTCCCTTAAGATGTCCAAACAGTTGATTCGCGATGACAAAGTAAACACACACACAAAGTAATATGCAAATACTTTTATTAATTCACTTTAAAGTAATACACGTAGTATGACTCCAAATGGAGAACTGATTTTGGTGTCTGAGAGACACCTCTATTTATACTAAAGTGTACGTGAGGAGAAAGTGTGTCACATTGAGTCAGGATTTAATCACTATTAAAACTGGGAGTTTACTATTTAATTTTTTCTATAACATTTTAGTGCATTATTTTAACACTCTATTTAACACAAAATATTGGATAAAGTTTCCTTAAAAACAAGGTGTTTACCTTTAGGTTTTTTGTAAAACATTTTAGTGCTGTTATAAATTTTTAACAAATAAAAATAAGAATAATTTTTGAAATAATTTTTCAGAGTATAACAAATAAAATACCCTTACAATATATCCTTGACTTCAATATAAAATTATTTAATGTTGAAATATTAGTGTATATAAGCATTTGTTTATTATAGGGAAAGTTTTCAATAATTTAGCTTATGTAATAATTATGTTTTTAATTATTTAAATAAAAACAAAACTATTTTGCTGATTTGACCCACTATTGCATTTCCGCCCCTTCAAGTCTTCATCTGTCCTCAGATGTGTAAAATCAGTAACACTAATAACTCATGTACACATTAGTTTACAAATTTATAAAATATTACTATAAAATCCCTTCACCTTAAAAAATGCATGCATTATATAAACTTTAATCTAAAATACCAATAAACCATGCATTATAATAAAATTTTAACCATTGTCCGTTTTCTGATCATCATTGTGCTTTGTTTCTTTTTCCGTGTTATCATCTATTTCATCGTCCAGTTGATTTTCATTGTCATTTTGTGTAGTAATATGTTTAGCATTGTTACTATCTACTTCATCAATGCCGTCCAATTCAGGAATTGTTTCATTGTTCCATTTTCTTAATCGTCTTATATGTACTTTCTTAAACTTTTTCCTTGGATTATGTACACTTTGGACAGTGTATACAAGTGGACTGTGCCGCGTAATTATCTTATAAGGGCCAATATATTGGCTTAGTAATTTCGTACTAAGACCAATCTCTCTGTGAGGAATATGTAGTGACACCAAGTCACCCTCCTCAAATACTACATCGCGATGTTTAGCATCATAACGGAATTTACCATCATTATGAGCCTCTATAATTCTCATATGAACCAATCTTCTTGTCTCCTCCATATATTTTAAATAATTAGTGCCAAATGCAAAGTCACGCGGCAGATCATAAGATACGTCAATTGGTACTTTTGGTTCTCTTCCATATAGTAAGAAAAACGGAGAAACTTTGGTAGCTTTATGATGACTAACGTTATACGAGAATGTTACTTTGGGTAAGTACTGGTCCCAATTGGTAACATTATCTTGAACATAATGTTTAAGCATCATAGCTACAGTCCCACATGCTTTTTCTGCTGTTCCATTCGATTGTGGACTATATGGTGTGGTTTTCACATGTTTGGAGGCTGTCAACTTAAAGACTTCTTCCATAAAGTCTGATATAAAGTATCTGGCATTATCTGTTAACACTTTTTTAATGGCGCCGTGTCTTGCCAATACTTCATCTACAAACCATTTCGCTATGGTAATGGCTTGTACATTCCTCACTGCCTTTGTCTCCATCCATTTTGTAAATAAGTCAATCATTATTATAATGTATTTACTGCCTTTTGACGTCGGAGAGAGAGGCCCAAGTATGTCTACTCCGACAATTTCAAATGGTTCATTGGCATCGATAGGCTGCAGCATTCCTTTCTCCAGTTTATTGTCGACTTTATTCAACTGACATGACTCGCAGTTGTTTACGTATTTTCTGATTGACTTTTCACAGTGAGGCCAGAAAAATCTCTCTTTGATTTTTCCATATGTCTTTTCAAATCCTAAGTGAGCTCCGGACAACTCATTGTCATGTAAATCTTGTAGGATTTGTCGTCTTAATTCTTTAGGAAGGCATAACTGTAGCCTCCTATTTCTATTATCATCATAACTTATCCTATATAGAATTTCATTTTCAATAATGAATTTGCTTAAGCTTTTACTTTGTTGATTATTTTTTATTTTCTCTTTTAATTCTTTACACCATTTATCACTATCTTGTTTCTCTATTATGTTTATTGTAGGATTTATTAGTACTGGTATTACTGGTTCCCAATCGTCTGGTTTTTCGTATGGATATCTTGATAATGCGTCAGCATTGTTATGTAATTTTCCTTTCTTATATTTCACTTCAAAGTCATATTCTTCGAGTATTGTTCTCCAATGCATTAATCTTCTGTTTGGGTTTTTCAAATTTCTAATATATTGTAGTGGATTATGGTCACTATATACCACAAAATGTTCGCCATATATGTAATGTCGATACCTTTCAACAGCCCATACTATAGCTAAACATTCTTTTTCTGTGATACCATAGTTTAGTTGTGCACTATTAAACATTTTACTGTTGTAACTGATGACGACATGTTTACCATTTTGAATTTGTCCTAGTATTGCTGACATGCCATAGCCACAAGCATCAGTGAATATTTCAATAGGGGCACCTTCTTGATATTGTGCCAGTATTGGAGCTGTAATTAATCTATTTTTAAGTTCATCAAACGCTTTTTGACATTTAATATCCCAGTTAAATTTAACATCTTTGCGCAACAGGTTTGTTAATGGTTCGGCTACAAAAGCATAATCTTGTACAAACACTCTATAGTAATTTGCTAGTCCAAGAAAGCTTTGTACATCTCTAACTTTCTTAGGTATCGGGAATGCTTTAACTGATTTTATTTTGTCTTCATCTGGCTTTATTCCATCCGATGAAACTATATGTCCTAAATACTTTACTTCTTTGCAAAGAAATTCACATTTTTCAATGCCTAGTCGTAGATCATATTCTCTAATTAATTTCAAGACGCTTTCCACGTGTCGTAGATGTTCATCAAATGTATTGGAGAATATTATTATGTCATCCAAATATACTACGACAAATTGATACAATACATTTCTTAAAACTT